GTGTTAATTACTGCTGTAAATCTGTCGCATTTTAATGCGAGTCTGTGGGGATCCACTCGCTTTTGGAGCCTCAGGTGGATGCTAGAGGACCTGCAGCTGTTGACGCTAGCTTCATCTCCTTCGTTCCTGCTTTAAGCTAAAGATTCGCCTTCAAATTTCTTTTCCCGAAAACAGATATTTTTAAAGGTCCAGATTTGGAGAGAGAGCATCGTCTGAGCAAGCTAACATTTACAGTTGTCACTTTGTTCGTTTTCACGTCTGCTCCTTTTTGCTCTGGCGTTTTGTCATCAGCGCCGTGAGCTCCTGCTGCTGTTTGATTTCATCTTTAGAGCTGGAAAAAATGACCTGTTAAAGTTTAAAGATTGTGTCATTGTTCATGTGGTTTTGTATTTGTTTGTCTGTGGACACACACACACACTCACACACGTTAAAACTTCACACTCCTTTATGAAAAGTTTACAAGAGCTTTATTCACAGACGTCTGGAAGAATGAATGGAAGAGCTTTTTGTACATAGTTTCCTGTAAATAGATTGGACCTCCTCATGTAGGAGGGGAGTGATGGAGGGAGTTTGGGGTGGAGGGGGCAGTTTGGGGAGGGACGCGGGCGGGCCGGGGTTAAATTTAAATTTAGACCGTAGACTCTACTTTTCTGAATCTGATTCTATTTTTTCTTTTTTCTAAGCCTTTTCTCCCAGCCGTGTTGTTGTTTTTGGACAGACAGAGAGCTTCTTAACGAGCCGCCTGCAGGAAAACTTGATCTTTGTACCAATTTGCAGACCGATGTCTTTGGTTACCTGTACATAATTTTAAAATAATAAAAATTGATACTTTGAGTAACTCTGGCACAGAGTTTTTCTTTCTGTCCTCGGTGTTTGAGTCCACGAACACGTGAAACACGTTTTGGTCCTTTAATGTCTGAAAGAATCACAGATATTCACGCCCCCCCTGCACGTCCTCCTCGGGGCACCCCGGGCCTCCGCCGCTGCTCCTGGCCGTGTGGAAGTGCCTCTCGGGCCGAGGCGGGTCCCCGGCCGCCGGCGCTTTGTCGGTGGCCGGGCTGCGAGCTCCGCCCGCGCCCTGCTGCAGCAGCTCGCTGAGGGTGGAGATGTAGATCTGCGCCATCTGCAGGGTCTCGGACTTGGACAGCTTCCGGTCGCTGTCCGTGTTGGGAATGACGCTGCGGAGCCGGTCAAAGGCCACGTTCAGTCCGAGCATCCTGCGCCGCTCGCGGGCATTGGCCGCGAGGCGCCGGCGTCTCTGCGCGCGCTCTAGAGCGCTCGTGTCCGGCGGTAGGTAATGCAGCGCGCCCCCGGCGGGACCGAGCCGGAGCTCCACGATGGCGCGCGGGGAGTCCCGGTAGTCCCCGGAGCGGTCCGGTGCGAGGCTCCGCTGCAGCAGCGCGTGGAGATCCGCGTGGAGAGCCGAGGCCGCGGGACCGCACTCAGAGTCCACGGACACGAAGGGAGCGAAGAGGCTTTTACGCGGAGGCATCTCTGCTCCTCCTCCGCTCTCCCCTTTCTCCTTGTCCTACTGTCTCCTTCTCCTCCTTCACCAAACGGCCACAGCCGCTGAGCCTCACCGGGACCCTTCACGTTTCTCAGCATTGATGGGAGAATTTATGGAGTGGGGGGCCTTGCGTGCTTCGGGGGCGTGGACAGGGTCGTGTGCTGCTCAGTGAACTTTGCCAGATGCGCAGCTGGAAGTCGATTAACCGAGTTCATCAAAAGAGGATTAGAAGCGTCTCAGTGCGCCGCTGAGGGCCGAAGAGGAGGACGGAGAGCGCCACGGTGTGAAGTTCCACTCACACAAACTTCACGGACAGTTTTTCAATTATAAAAAGTTTGTAATAAGAGTTTCGAGCTGAAAGCAAACTTGTGTCGTGCAGCAGATCAAAACATTTTAGCGCTCAGATTTAAAGAAAACGTGTTTGTATGTTAGTCTGAGCACAGCTGCTACACTTCGCTCTGCTTCCATCACCACACAGATGTTAGTGGATGAAGTATTTCTCTGTTCTGTCACCAGAAATCTGCGTGATTAGTTTCTTTCCCACACAGAAACATTCATCCCAACATGGAACAGTTGGAACAATCATTCATGCTGCGAAGCTGCGCGACCAGTTTAATGCAAACACATTTAAAACAGTCAAAATTTCAGTTATTAATTAATTTGATGAAGATCAGTGAAAAGGGATCATTTGTAAAACAAACAGCAGATGAATAGATTTTCTCTCTTCTTCTTCAAACATTATTACTCTGCAGAGTAAAATTAAAATAAAAAAAACAAACAAACATGAAAATAAAACCGAAAAGTAAAAAATAAAAAATCTACATGTGGTTTGGGACCAGGACTGGCAGAGGGCGCACTGTGGTCCTCACAGGACGGAGCATCATTCATTCAGTATTCAAAGATGAAGGAAATTCTACATCAACTATTTTTTTCTTGTTGTTTATGGTTGTTGTTTTAAATTATCCTCATCTGAAGGTTTTGTGTTTCAGAAAATCACATTTTAAATGTGAACTTTGTAAAAGTGACGCAGGTTATTAACTCTAAGGTTCAGCTGACGATCGAGTGAAGGTTTGGGAGCAAATAATTAATAAATTCCTAATCTGCGCATGTTTGAGGCCGTCCTGTCACACAGCAGCATGTTTAATGATCTCTAATCGTGATTAATCCGATGTTTTCACTGTTTTTGTCTTATTTTCTGTTATTTGATTGAAAGTTGACATCACATCTGTTTCTTCTTCACGTGTTGAGGCAGAAACTTTATTCAAATTCAAGATTTTACTTGTTTTCTTACTTCTGTGGTGATGAAACACCGGCGTGCTCAGTGAGGAAGACTCCAGTGTTTATATTTCTTACAGAAATGTAATTTTCCTCATTTAGGATCTCGTTTTTCATGTGGCTTTTTTAAAGTTACCTGTAATATCCCCACATAATTCAAGTAACTTTTTTTTCTGCGAACACATGTGTCCTTCAGATCAGAATTATAAGTTTTGTCTGTATTTAGCTGGGAGAAAACTTTTTGTGTCCAGGCTGAACAGATTCTCCCTCCATGCCTGTGTTGGCACATTTAAGCTCGCAGCAGAGACTCTGGTTTGATAACTAAATGATGTTTGATCATCTTTAGAACCAGCTGAAGCTTCCAGACTGAAGAAACGGCTGTGATGAGCACAGTCGTTTGGTCTGATATGAAGTTAGAGATCAGATCTTCTCTGTTTCAGCAAAGGACAAAAATGTCTCCCCGCCTCTCTACAGGTGGACAAGTCGCCTGCACAGGTGGAGTAGAGGACATGATGATTACTACATCTCTGACCTCGCATCTCCTCCCGGTCCCTGGAACAACATCTGTTTCCTTAAACCGCACTTTGACTGGAGAAATCATTTTGACTGCAGCTGAATAAATTCTTATTTTGTTCCACTTTGCAACTAAACGTGTAAATATAGATTCAGGTCTCCAGCCAGCGAAGGACTAAGGACGAAGAAGCCTTTGGTTTTCGTCCCAGCCTTGTAATCCTGTCCAGCATTAATTATTCATGCAACAGTTACATGAATAAATGCCACACGGAGCTCGTAGGTGAAGACATTTTCTTGGTTTAATAGTGTTTTTTCCTGAATGGCTGGGGGATGATGTTAGCATCACACACTTGATTAAAAAGCTCAGCGTTTCACGGCTGTAGCGTCCTTGAGTTTCCCTCTGCAGGCTGCTCAGACATTTGTCTGATGCATTAAAGCTCGTCACTGGAACTTGTTTTTAAGGTTAATTAAAAGTGTTGTGCTCCCGGAGGTTAAAGCCTGACGATGACTGACAGCCGCTGGCAGCCTCGTATCCTCTGGACAGACTCTAATGGGATTTAGCAGCGTGTCCCGGCCGCCGTGTGCCAGCGCTCTGGCGGGCCGGGCCTTTGCAAACGCCACAGCGTGCCACCGAGATGCCACATAAATGGCTGCGTGACACACGGGAGCATAATGGACTCCTTATGGCCGGGGGTGGGGGGGACCCTCGCTGTCTGGGGCCCCTGGCTCAGTTTCCTTTTATTCTCCAATCTGGAGCACGTGGGGAGGTTTGGCTTCACGCCTTAGCTGACAGTTGCTGGCACGCTCCGCTTTATTAAAGCCAATGAAACGGCTCGTTGCAGCCAGAGAGCGGACACAGGCCGCAGATCAAACCCTCCCACCGCTGTGACGCGCCCGTGCAGATGACACGTACACGCCACACCGGCCTGCTGCACATCTGCAAGTTTGGCTTTTTCTGCTCTTGTTGCAAAAAGTTTAACTTCTAATTTTTTTTAAAGTTAAAGTAAAAACACTTTGTGTGTGTTTCAGCTGATTTCACACAGATCTGAAACAGCACAAGCTCACATGTTTAAAACATTCCTCTCAAGTTAAACTGATTATTTTTGTTTAATTTGAATTACTGAGGGCTCTTTTTTTTTTAGCATGCTATTGTTTTTTTGGGGAAACTTCATCATTAAAGCCACGACAAACGCTCCAGTCTACCTGCAGAGATGTGCAATTATTGTATTTTCCCACAAAATTACACAGTACTCAAAATTACTTATGCACAACCTAACCTGACATGTTGTTCTGCTTTTATTATTATTATTATTATTTGGGAGGAGAGGAAAGCATACAGGTGATCTGCTCCTAGCAAACATGTCACATGTGCCACCAGCTACAGGTGGAAACATTTTTCACCTTCAGCTTTATTTTTTATTTGTGTATACATGTGGTCACTGCAGTCTTTACCCTTTAATTTTTCTTAAATACAAGATAAACTGTATTTCCTGCAGAGCATGAATCCCCATTTGTGTCTCCATATTTGCAGCAGCAGGATATGGCTTAACAGAAACTGGTGTGTGTGTTAGTGGTCATGAAGGAACACGTCACAGTGCAATACGAAGGTGTTTCCATTCGTTTTTGGACAAAAAAGGTTTTGAGGCGCGCTCAGTTCACGAGCTGCTCTCCTAAACTGATGTGCAGGTAATTTAACAACAAAAAGCCCTGAAATGAAAAGAATGAATTCCTCTCTGACGCTGACAGAAAGCACATCTGCATTCCTCTGTTTGGGAAGCAAACGTGGAACGAGTGGTTATTAGTTTGAGGTAAGAGGTTTGGCTTCACTCGTTAACACGCTGCGCCTTATTAAACCCAATGAGACGGCTCGTTGGAGCCAGCGGACCGACACGGGCTGCAGATCAAACCCTTTTCCCACAGAGTCGCTGAAGCAACACAGCTGAGCTTTCTCTCCACGGTGGACTTTAACACAATGAGTCATTTCTGTCCAGACAAACTCGAATCTTTTACCCCACATTTATTCACCACCGTTCAAAGCTACCCGATCCTGGCTCGAGACGGTCACGTTATCACAACGACTCCATTTTCACTGCTGCTGATAAAAAACTAAAATACCAAAGAGACATGAATTATCTCACAGCTGTAAATACTGGGAACAAAAAAAGATTTCTAAAATGATGAATGTCCGCCTGGGCGAAGCATGTGTTTCATCTTTGTCTGCTTCTTTTTGTTGAGATTGGAATAAAAGCCTGCAGTGTGAACATGAAGCCCAGCGCGTCAGTAACAGACAGGCTAAATGTCAGTCACCATGACCGCAGTGGTATCGCTCTGTAATTTTTAATGTTCATTTCAGTGTCTTGCATCAGAGACCAGCTGTTTGACAAATGCTTACATTATTATTGTTTTTACTCTCTTTGCAGGTTATTTCCACTCAGAGTCTGTCGACCTGAAAACCCATCTGCCAAAAACTGAAATCTTAACAAGCTTCCTCATTTTTCCAGGCACCATTAAACTCTAAAAGTCACCCAAATTGGCTAAAAAGCAAAACAGTCTGAGTCAGTTTAGCACCAAACACACTAATGTGATAGTTCACTCCGAGAGTGACCAGATCCCAAAAC